AGGGACTCTCAGGGGCTCAGCCGCCTCCCTGGGCCCTGAGCATCCCTCTATGGATCTTGACCTTCAGAGAGCCCTGAGCAATTCTTGTTTCCAAGACCCTGGTCTCCTATGACCAGGGGGCCAGGCCCCGGAGGCCCCAGGAGGGAGCACAGAGGGCGGCAGGCACGTTTACTCTCACTGCTGCCCAGGGAAACACAGGCCCTGCCTGGAGCCAGGAGCCAGGGCCAGAGGTGGAAGGGGCTGGGGCGCCAGCGACTTCTGGGGGACACCAGAGTCATGTGTTGGGAACCCCTCATGGTGCCCCCTGCTGCTCCGCAGAGATGGGGTGGGCTCCTTCCAGCCCTACCCGCTCTGTGGGCCATTGAGAACCCCCTCACCCTGAGTAAGGAGAGAGAGGTCAGATGGCTTCTGGAAGGTCACAAGGCTGGGACCTGGGACGGGGTGGGAAAGGTGAGTGGCGATGACACGAGGGAGGAGAGGCTGCCTGCTCGATGGGCCTCTCCTCGCCCTGAGCGCGTCTGCAGCAGCTCAGACGGGACGTTCAGGCCTGAGGCCCAGGTTGTGTGTGAAGGCGGGGACCAGGGCTTGGGTCCTAGTTCCCTGGAAAGAAGGGGCCCACCCGGCTCCGGCCTCTGGCCCTGAACGGGAGGCTGACGCTACCTGTGGTAAAAGGAAGACGTCTGAGCGAGAAGCCGTAAGGTCCACGCCCTGGTTTCCCCAGGTACCAGCTCGGGCACGTTACCAGGACTTGGGTTACCCTGTGTGTGACGGGGTTCCTACCACTGATCTCAGGGGTTCAGATAGCAATGAGAGGCTAGCAGCGTCCTGGCCTGTGGGCCATTCAGGAGCACTTCCACCCACCGGCCCCCCACCTGCCCTCCTCACATAACCAGGAGAGAGAATCCAGTTCAGGCACCTTGGCCTGGAAACAAAGGGACAGCTCTCCTGGGCCAGGAGGGGCAGCGGAGGGGGGCAGCTGAGTGCCCGGAGAACTGATAGCAGAATGAGAAGGAAGAGAAGTGGCAGGAAGATCTGATCTGCGAATCAGATGCTGCCCAGAGGGCCTGAGGCCAAGATGCTGGACCAAGAAACAGCCCTCGCCAGGGCACACGGGGCAAAAAAGCCAGACACGAGACGAAGCCCAAGTGCGCAACCATCACGAGATGCGAAGAGCCCAGTTTTCCTTCTTGTGACTGTGGGGCTCTGCTGTCCAGCCCCCAGGGGGGAGCATCTCTGAGGAAAACGCCCGAAGGATGTCCCCTAGAGGGTAGACATGCAGAGTGGGCTGGAGGCAAGGGTGGCCAGCGAAGGCCAAAGCTGGCCTGTGCATGTGCAATCCATGTGCTGCATAAAGGCGCCTGCCAAGGGGCAGGGGTGGGCTGAAGACTCTAGTTATGCCCGGCTTCCTGGAGGTGCCATCGGCTCAGCCAGCTGCATACCTGCTGCATCTGAGCAGAGGGCCACCTCTTTCTAATGAGCAGATGACCCAGCCCTGCACCCCCCCCCAGGGGTCCCCATCTACAAGTGGGAAGTACAGAAAGGCAACAGCCCCGTTGCCTGACACACTTTCATTCCTAACACAGGATAAGGCGCTGGTCCACGCCCTGAGCTCTGGAGAGACAGCCGAGAAGAGGGTGGGAAAATCATGTTTAAATCCATCAGCCCAAAAGGGTAGCGTGAGAGACCCGCCATCTCAGCAGGGAACCTGTGGGGTCCCTCTGCCTGCTGTCCACCAAGTTGAGAGGGTGCTCCTGGACTGAGAAGAAATGGGAGACCTCTTCCAGGTGGGATGGGTTCGCTCCAAGGCTGGAAAGTGACCACAGGGCCCTAGTTCTGGAGCTGCAAAGCCAGACCCTGCACACCCAGCCTTCTGCACGGGCTTTGTGGACAGTGGGTCTGGGCATCTCCCTGGAGCTCTGACCGTCTCTGCAGAGAGAGGGGGCCAGGATCTGCTCTGCTCAGGACTCCAGCCTCTCCCTGGCCTGATATTCAGGGACGCAGTCTACCTTCAATAATCAATGGACAAGGATCGCATGTTCCAGGCACACATGGCCCCAGGCCTTCTGACCCATCCCCTCAGGCTTAGATTGTTCCTTTCTCCCACCCCACAATCCAATCCACCCTCCATCACCCAGCTTCAGCGTCATCTCTTCCTCCAGGGCCTTCCCTGAGCCCCGAGCCAACTGTCCCACTTACTGAGAGCTCAGCACTCAGCACCCCTGCTGTTCACTATAACCTGGTAGTGGAGTCCTGGCCCCTCAAACCTCTCCCCTCCACCCCCCACCAGCAGCCTCCCTGGCTCTGCTTGGCAGTAGTGTCACTGTCCATCTCGCACCACTGCAGGGGGCAGTTAGCAAGGCCTGTGGGTAAGAACTGAGCTCTGGAGCTTGGAATCGCCCAGGCCAGGGAAGGAGAGAGGAGACAGTGAGGACTGGGGGTGGTGACTGGCTCTGAACCCCAAGAAGGCGAGAATGTGGACTCTCTTGATGCCTAGTTGTGACACCCTGGTCACAGTCCCAGGCCACCCGGCTGAGGACTGGAGAGGGCCTGAGCTGGCCAGTTGGGCTGGGTTGGGTTGGTTTTATTTTAGGTCTGAAGGCTCTTTCTCCCGTGCCCCAGTGCTGGGCAGAAATCTGCTGTGGGTTAGGGAGCCAGGTTCTGGGGCTCTCAAGGGGTGGGTGGGGAGAAGCCACCTGGGGCGCCAAGGGTGTGGGGGCTTGGCCACCTGCCCCCACCAGAGCTGCCCTGAGGCTCCCTCACCCCGTTTTCATCTGACTCGGCTGAGGGAGGGCTGACTTGTTCCCTGGCTGTCCCACCAGCAGGGCCCCCGGGGGCAGCACCCTGGCCTTGCGGTGCTGTCAGGGCTCAGCAGGGAGCGTGGGGGATTCTGGTCTCGGATTCAGGCGTCTGTGGGGTTTTGGCTGGGTCTCCTGCGGTTTGGGCTTCCTGGGCAGCAGCCTCATGCTCCCAGGGCGGCAGAGCCAGGCCTCCTCCTGTTATGAAAGCCACATTGTCTGGCTCAGCCCAGCCTGGGGAGGGGGCTCGCTGGGGTGCTGGGGGCCTCAAGTTACAGCCCCGGGCTCAACCCTCCCAGGGGTCCCCCTGGCCTTTTAGCCCCTCTTCTCCCTTCGGGACTGAGAGTGGGAGGGTCGCACAGGGAGGGGATCTTGGAAAGAGGCACTGGGGGGTGGGGAGGGAGCAGAGAAAACAGATAAGCAGAGGAAGAAAGCAGGGAGTGGGAGGATAGGAGAGAAGGAGGCTGAGAAAGAGAGGAGGGGTGAGGGAAGCTGGGAAGGAGAGAGAAGGTTCCCAGCCCCCAGAAAGCCTTCCCGGCCCCTGGCCCCAGCCCTTTCCAGCCTGAAGGAGCCCAGTTCTTGGACGAGCTTATTCCCCAGAAGCCCCTGCTCCAGGGGCCCACAGAGAGGAGGGAACCTGAGGATTATGGGGGGCGCGTGCAGCGGGAACATTAGTGTCATTCATGAGCTGGCCCCTGGCCAGATATCCCCCCGTTTGTCCTCACTCTGTTCTAGGAGGCCCCCACCTCCATGGCCTGGGCGGCAGGGCAGGGCGGGGGGCAGAGTGCCATGGTTCTCACTGGGCAGACCCGGGGAGCTGGGACAGGCCCCCCAGCAGGCAGACAGGCTCCTGTGGGCGGATGTGGAGACTGAGGCCAGAGGGAAGGAACTTGTCCAAGGCCAGGCCTGGAGTTCGTTTCAGAGGTCCAGGACCCGACCATCATTACTCAAAGGGGGAGAAAGGGAGAGTGGGGTGTGAGTGTGTGTGTGTGTGTGTGAGAGAGAGAGAGGGGGGGGGGAATGAATTAGACTCACTTAGAGCTGGGATTGAAGTCATGCAATCTGGGCCTATATTCCTGCACCCCAACCCTCTGCCCTGAACAGATCCCACAAGTTCCCGACTTCTGACCCTGTGTTCCACAGTGAGCCTCTGCTCACATCTGTATGGTAGGGGGGCGGAGAGCCACAGCCCAGGGGGCTCCCACCCTCAGGGAGTCCCAAACCTCCCCGGGCAGGGAGGCTCCTGCAGAAACCCGGGGAGGTTACAGACCCTGTGAGTGCTGGGCTCCTGTGAGCTGGGAGAAGGTGTGTGTGTGTGTGTGTGTGTGTGTGTGTGTGTGTGTGTGTGCAGGGTAGGAGCAAAGGGGACTGGCCAGGCCTGGGTGGGGAGGAAGGCAGCAAGACAGATGGCAAGAAGGGGAGGGCCGGGTCCTGCGGCCGCTTTAGGCCGACAAAAGTTTTCGGGAAGCGCCGGGCTCTGGTTGGGTTGGGGGAAGGGAAGGGGAGAAAGACTCAGACACCCCCACCCTCGCCTGAGGCCCCCATAAATATTTACACACTGGTCAGAAACGGCTGGGACACAAATCCCAGACGGACAGACGGCCTGCAGTGTGTGTGTGTGTGTGTCTGGTGCTGGGAGTGAGGGGAGTTAGAGCCAACTTGGCACAGCCCCGGCTGCGTTGGGGCCCTGCCCCCATCACCCCAGCACTCCACTCATTTTGGACCCCATCCCGGATAGCCAGACCCCTCACCCCCACTTCCACTAAAGCTCCCCGAAACCGTCTCCTCGTGTCTCAGGGAGAAGTGGGGAGAAT